GGGGGGGGGGGGGGGGGTGCAGGACTACAAAGTCAGACCATCTTTATGGCACACATTAGAGAGAGACCGGAGGAGAAGAGCCAGGCAGGAAAGATCTAAAGAGACAGACACCAAATGAGTACGAGTCATTCGGAGAGAAGACGTCACTATCAGCTATGATACTCCCTGTCGTAGACGGAGGAGAAGAACAGCCCAACAAAAGTCTGGAGAGGTCAACTGTGTCTCTTAAAATCGGTCTTTTCTGTCACCGCCCCGGCTTGAAAGGTGGCTGTTAAAGGTTTGTATTTTTGTCCTTAAGAGGGACCAGTAGCTGTGGTTCAGCTTTTAATTTATGTTGGTTGCAATGGATTGTACATTTTCACGGTGGAGAAAAATCATCAAAACATTGACAGAAACTTTCGCAAAGCACTTTTGCAATGTGGTCTGATTCTCCGCTGTCCATCTGTATGCTCAGTGAATTCTAAATAATTATCATGTTGCCACAATATGGCTACATACACTGCTTCTGTGTTAGGTTACTGCCCTCCTTGAAGCTACAAAGCTTTGCCACAAGAAGTGTATTCAGCCACATTTTGGCAAAACAGTAATTCTTTGGAACAATGCAGAGAGAAGTGGTTTACGCTGACGCTTTGAGAAGTTTGTGAAGGAATTATAGCACTTTTTGCCAGCCATACAATGTTGTCACTGTTGGTATCCATTGTAACAAATAAGAATTCAACTGACCACTGAGGCAGTGCAATAAGATAGATTAGAGATTTTAACAGCCACCTAAAGCAACGTTAAAGCCCACTGAGGTTGCTTGATACTCAAAACATGTTATATGGAGGACACTTTAATGTAGGGCTGTGTGGCTCAAATTAATGTCACAATATCTTAATTTGACACATTAAAAATGTTTGTCAAATGCAATGAATTATTTAAATGTGTTATTTAATTAAAATGTGTCATTTTGACTTGATAAAACGGTCAAATTGTGACCATTTAAATATAATTGTGGTTTAAAATCAGTGCAAAGGCTTCACTTTTTCTATCATTGCTGATTTACACCTGATTATTTCAATTATTGCCCAGCACTACCTTAATGTTATCTTTTATTATTGATAGAAAGAAAAGCTAAAGGGATGCAGGCAGGCAGACATGCACGAATACTACAACTAAAACCAGCTTTCCTTTAGGCATGTACCTCCTGCACTGATCACCCTGCTCAGTGAGGGACCACAGCTGTGTTATGTGGCACAAGGAATGAACTCTAGTGATGGTAACTATTTAGTTGCACAATATAATGAGAGTCTATATGAGGTATATGGAGGTATGTTCCGTATAAGCCTATGGGTTCCTGAACATCCAATGGGGCAGGGGGAGAGTTAAATATGGGAAACATCTGGCTGGCTGGGGAGCACAGACACGCACACACACACACACACACGCCTTGTCCCTATCACATGCCTTGTTTCGCTCACCTCCCCCAACAGTGAAACATGACCACATAATTGATTTATCAGTATGGCGTGTGTCACCTCCAGAGCTCAAATGCACCTCTGAGCCAGCCTTGACACCTTTAGAAAAACCCTACATTCAAAGTAATACACACACTTGATCACACTGAAGCACATGTGACATGCTTTGTGGTGCGCATACGTACACCGGTGTGGTAGAATTTCATGTAGGAAGGCACCACTCTTTACTTTACAAAGCCTTGGCTTCCTGCATGTGTCAACCATCCAAGAGCGAAATGGATTATTATTACACACTGCACACACGTTCATGCACACACACACACGGAGTGTGAAGCATAGTTAAGGGAGTCAAAGTGTGTGGAATGAGGGTCAAGGTGATGATCAGTAATCACTGGAAACCATCAATCAGTTTGAATTAAACCTGAGGAGTAACAGCTGTAGCTTCTTAGCATGGAATTAAAAGGGATGTTTTAGTGAAATGTGTGTCTGTGTGTTTGCGCCTTTTTGTGTAACAACTCACCTCTGTCCCAGCCACCATTGGGTTCCCGAGGTCACACACCACCATTCTGGACTCATTGACCATCTTGTACTCGCAGTTTGGCTGCGACAGGGACTAAACAGGAGGGGACAGGACAGAAGAAAGAAAAAGAAAGTACAGTTTACGAGATGATGAGGCAAAAGTGGATGAAAGTGACAAATAGGGAGCGTTGGGAGTCAAGAGGGGAAAAGAAAAGAAGAATGGAGTATAACACAATCAAATGGAGAAGGGAGTGAGGGAGTGAGAAAGAGAAGGATGGGAGGGGAGGGGGAAGGCAGGGGAAGCGGAGTGATGAATGCTCTGACAGTAACAACCTCATCAATCAAACAGTCCCATTACACACTCATTAGCGCACACACACACACACACACACACACACATACACACACACACACACACCAGTTGACCCTATCCATTTCCGTGGTCACTAATGCAGCTTGTAAATCATAATAGGGGCTTTTGGGCTGTTGCCAGTAAAGCATAGCCTGCTGATAGCCTCGCCTTAATCATTCCAAACAAACACACACCACAAAGACACAACAGGATGTGATGTCGTACTGTGACTGCAGCCTCAAATAGCTCACTTCCTCTTTGATGATGATGATGATGATGATGATGATAATGATCACTCGACACATTCTTCAGTTGTGATAAGACAACTTCCTCAATCTTAAATGTCTATTTTCAGTATCCATCCTACAGGCAACATCAATCAAACTGATTTCAGACAAATGTGTGTGTAAGTGTGTGTTTATTTACCTCCACCCTGCGCTTCACTCCAATATAGTCAGCCTCTGGTGGTATCAGTGTGTAAAGCTCTGCCTCATAAGCTCCCTCTCCTCGGTTCACTGCAGTGATGGTCAACATGACCAGATTGTCATCTCCAATCACCAGCTCTGAGCGATCCCTGTGTGTGTATGTTTAAAAAAGAGAACAGAGAAAAGATATAATTTCAGTCATGTAGAGGACACCAGATATGAAGCTATGTTCTGGAGTTACATAAAAGAATCTCCTGTCCTGTGTTTTTTGCAAAATTCAGTTTATAATTTCTAAGATTGGACTTTCTTAGCTCATGTGCAATCTACTCTGCAGCTAGGAATGCAATACCCCCGACCCCAACAATAACCCCAACAATGTGTGTGTCTGTGTGTGTGTCGGTCAGTAGAGGTTGACAGGATGTTTGTATAACGCTGCCATGGAGATATCGTACAGCTGGAAACACTATAGAGTGTAGGTTAATTCACATACAAACCACATGGTAAATGGAACTATAATGTGAGCAACTATAGTGTAAACTTTGCTCATTGTGTGAGGAATAACAGACATGCTTTCCTTTGGTTCCGCTGTGTGTGCATGTGTGTCTGTGTTTGGCCGTGTGAAGTGTTGAGTGTTTACAGGTTGAGGTCAGAGGGCGTGACCATGTCAGTCTTACATGCTGGCAGAGAGCTGGAGGTCGGGGATACAAATATTGTCGTCACCGCAGTCCAGGAGAATGTAGGCCTGAGAGCAAGAGGGGCACAGAGAAGGGGACTGACATGAGGAAACTGCAAGGTACACTGGACATCATCATGAAACCAAAAATAGAAATAAACTTAACACACCAGGATGCAGGTGCTGGATACATACACACACACAGCATACATATTAGAGTTCTGGTATCCCGGTCTTGGGCAACTGAATGAGTTTTGGGTTGAGTTTTATTGCGCCCAGCTTGGGGCTGAGATTGGGTTTGATTATTTTTAAATGTAGGTTTGTAATAAAACATTCTATTTTTCTCTCTGTCTCTGTGCTTTTTCTAATAGTCTGCATCTGTGGGTGTCATGTGTTCCAATTAAAACTTGCAAATGTCCAGCATTAAAAGAAAGCACAGCAGGGCAAATATAGCACATTTATCACTTTTAACCCTGAAGCCTTTCTGTGTAAGGCAAGCATTTTCATATATGTCTTTCTTATATACTCACATGCTCTTGAAGGAAAGTGCTGCTGTAATGGTTGAGGACAGGTGGGAGGTTTTGGCCATGAGAGGGTGGAGCCAAGCTGTAGTTCAGAGCCAGTGAGATAGGGGTCAATTTGTCCCTAAACTCCTCTTCCTCCTGAGGGAGTAACAGAAACAGGTGAGAAATGTGTGGCTAGTCGCCTTTGGATGGTCTAAATAGTAAACTGAACAGTTGGATTGCAACATTATTCAAAGCTCATACATTTGTGTTTGCATAAGAGTGTACTTTGCTCACTTTCAGGTAAATGGTATAGCTTAGGCATGAACGTGGGCGGTTGTGACCCAATGATAGGAGGCCTGTGCGCTGAGACAGCTGGGTGTCCAGGAAAGAAACTCTCTTAACTCCACCTCTGCCTTTCAACCAATCCAACTGTAGCTCTGCTTTCAGGTCTGGAAAGAAGGTAAAGATGCAGAGGAGGATGGAAAAGTGAGAGAAAAGGTGACAATGAGAGTGAATTAGGCGATCAGACATTCCCTAACTGTTGAATCCACATGGTCCAAACCCTTTATATGTGTGACTTTCCATTAGTTATGAAGTAAGCAGCCATTTGTAGGCGTTTTACTCTACAGAGCATCATTAGACGGTGGAAACAATGTACTTTACACCTCCACTGTCTGTGTCTGTCTACCCGATTCTTGTTTCCACCCTCCCTCCTGCGTTAATTAGAGCAGCAGTTTCAAAGCAGGAAACTCTGATGAGATGTACAAAGGAGCTGGCTCTGACTACTGTCCCTCCCACTGTGCTTTTCCCTTTTGCCTCCTTCTCTCATTCCACCACATTGTGCACAGCTGCTTACCTACAGAGCTGGGAATCCCCACTCCGCTGACTGCTGCACACACTTCTACCTTCAGACTGCAGGAAGATAGAGAGTCAGAAGTTTAGGATAACTGTTAGCATACTGTACAAGATCAACACACCCACACACATACTAAAAAGAGAACAAAATGCACGGATGCCTAAAATATGTAGTGATACCACAAGGTTATTTTTCAATAATGAATCTTTAGATTAATCACACAGGATATCACACCAACAATAATAAGTCATGCAAGTTTATGTATAGTTGCTCTAAGTGTTGCTAATACGTTTTTTATGGCTTTCAATGGCTTGGTAAACCCTGAAATGCTCTGAAGTACAGATCGTCAACATTTTGAATGGTTGCCTAATTAGGATGTTTTATAGTTATATAACTTTGTCTCAAAAGTTTGGAAAAGAAGGCAAGACAAGAATTGAATTTGTCTTTAGTGTGATTTATCTTGTAGGTTAGAATTACATTGGGCTGTTTTTTGATTTATGAATCCTGTTGTAGACATGGAGGTCTGAAAATTCTGTAACTTGTGTAAATTGGTATTATTTATTTTTAGGCTTTTTGTAGCATGATTTAAAAAAGTAGTCAGTGAATTCTGGATTTGATTTATATGAATTTATGGTGTCTTGTAAGCCTGGCGAACATAGCGAACTCCATGGAAGGCAACCCGCAGAGTCTGTAATATAAATGGCTCATTTATCAGGTAACAAAAACATAACGATTCCTATATTCAGGTGAATATACACTAATGAAAACATAGTGTTATATTATACTATATTCAGTTTCTGCCAATAAATCCTCCAAAGTGTTAACCACTGGGCCCTTAAGCCTTCATAGTCAATTAATGATCAAACTGGGATCACTAATTATTACAATCCATAAAAATGTCCAACCCTTTCTTCCCTTGTTGTTCCAACTTCCAAAAAATGTGATGAAAGTATTATATTACTCTTTTTGCTGGGGACCCCCTACAACCCACTCAAGGACTCCTGTTGGTCCCTGGACCCTGGTTTGAAAACCATGGATATAACTAACTAAATAAATTGCCCATAAGCAAGGCATTTATTCCTTCCTGTACTGCAGGGGGCAGTGGGAAGTCCCACTGAGGGCCCTGTGAGCCCCTCAATTAGACACACAGACATGGGAGACTGGGAAACATTTCTGCATTTCCTCTATTTATGTGTGTATGTGTATGTGTAAGTAAGTGTGTATGTGTGTGTGTGTGTTATCACCTCTTTAATCAAGAACAGGAAAGTGACTCCCACACAGGGATCACTGAACTGTTAATATTCACTAATCTGAGGAAGCTTACAGACGTAACGCTCCTGATTCTGCACTCAGCAGACTCAGCAGTATGAGGCATGAGGTAAATGACTTCATGTGATTATTGTTTGTTTGGTTTCCTTTCACAAACCCTAACATTCGAAATGCAGCTGTTGTGGATGCCTGGGTGTTTGTTATTAATTAGGATCCCCATTAGATGACACAATCGTGATGAGATAGTTTTCCTGCACTGTAAATGTATGCGATGCAGATGTTAGTTTAAGTGAAATAAAATACAGGTTTCTGTTTTAAAAATTGCTCCCCTAAGTCATTTTGACCTCTCCAGGTGGTTTCATGCATGTTTAATATGTGTTGCATGTAGGCATGTGTGTGTTTGGTGTTTTTGGGTGGGTGTGCTCAAGTGTGACTCTAATAAGCACTGTGTGTCAAACTTAAGTGTATGTAGCACGGAAATGACCCCCATTTTACTGACAACAGCTCTGGCCCTTGGTTAGTCATTACTGTATGTAATTTTCCCCAAAATGCATCTGTGCTCCGCCAGCCTACAAACTGCTAGCCGGCCCTCCCTGCACACATAAATCCCCCGACAACCCCGGGTTCGCTTAATGAGTAGGAATGTTCAATTTAAGGCTGGTCATCAAGTAGCTCCTTTTCCACCACTCCTTCATCCTTTTATCCAGGCCCTTTTTCTACCGCGCATGTACCACCACAATAGAGTCAATAAAAATGGGGTAGCAGAAACAAGCTAAGTTGATATGGGGAACTTGTTAGCAAACATTTGCCTATTTACACATCCAAGAGATGCGGAGCAACGCTAGCATTCATGTGAAGTCATCTTTCTGTCCAGTTCTATTTTTGGTCTCCAGCCACTCCTGAGAAAAACATCCTGCTCTTTTGCTGATAAATTAATACATTTTCATCCAGTTCTCAAAAACTGGATGAAAAGATATTTTGTCTGCTGCACAAGCTGTGACTGTATTCCCTAATTCATGTAGCCGGAATTGACTAATGTACTTTTTTGTAAAACACAACCAAACATGCTAGTTTGAATTAGAATATAAAATATCGCAAAGAAACATAAATATATACTACACAATAATAGATAATTAATAATAAAATGTTTGATCATGGTCCATGCTGTATAAACTGACCAAGGAGAAATGCTATTTCTGGCCACCATCTTTGGATTAGGCAGAAGAACCGCAACTGCCCCAAAAATACTTACAGACAAATGATATTTTTTTAAGAAAAGTCTTCTGGATTTTGGAAATATTGTCAGAACAGTGGTCAGTATTGTTAACTGAACTTCTGCGTTTTATTATTTAACCAAAAATCAGATGCTTAACCCTGTGACTCAGATGTACTAATACATGAGAGGCTGGGGCTACCACCCATCAAGTGTCTCTCCAGCTCTTACCACAGGGAAACAACTGAAATGTCAAAAAATCTTCACCCCTTTGAAACACAAGAGTCACAGATGTCCTTTAATTCTACGAGCTGCTGTTTGACTCTCTGCATGTGTGTCCTACGTCCTATCTGATCTGATCCATACCTTTCACCAAAACTTTAGGGCGGTTTATTTAAATAAGCAGAGTTTTGTTTTGACAGAATTCCACAGTTTAGTGCTCTCTGTCAATCTGACCCAAACCCTGTTCTCTTTTCACTCACTGCCAACACTCACACACCACTACGCACACACAGACACCATGATGGCAACTAGCCGAGCGCACTTCTCCCATCCAAATAGTCCTACAGCGGTTCCAGCCCCAATAAGTTAAGACCAACAATAGGCTGTGGCGAAGCAGCAGGAGCCTTCAGACCCCCCCCCCCCCCC